TCTCTGCTGACCAAAATGATCATAACAATGACAAGCTAATTGGCATAAATTAAATAAGCAAATATTTTACTAGAAATGGTTGATGTAAGCTGAACTGATCAGATTTCATGGAAATAAAAAGATAGCCAAAGTATAGTAGAAATAAATTAAGTGAAGGAAGAAATACAAAAAATAGCTATTTTTAGCTTTGTTTATCGTTTTTTTCACAAATATCAAAGAATTGAAAATGAATATGATTGTTATATCAATCAAAATCACAAAATTAAAAAGAAATTCTGATGAGGTTTGCTGATTGATAATTAAGCATTTATTTCTTGTGGTTTGAATGCAATCATAATACTTGGAAGCTAGCAAGGAGCTTAGTAATGAAGCAAATTCATGCAATTTCTTAGGCTTAGGCTTAATTCACAACAAACTTTCAAAGTTTGTTTTTCTTTTTAACAACTCTTCAGCAACTAAAATTTCATGGTTTCCTTCCAGAGAAAAAAAAAACCAAAATAGTAATAAAATTTTATTTCTTGACTAATTTTGCCAAAATAAGAAAAAAAAATTATTTTTTTCATCATAACCTTTTATACCTTTTATAGAAAATGAATGGAAATATGCGCTGCATCATTTGACTTCAAATGAGCCTACTTACTTGTATTTGCATCAAATTTTGCTGATAAAGACAAAAGTTAGAGTAGCAAAAAAGATGAAATGCATTGATAGCTGTAAATTTTATGCTCAAAAATACGCAAAAATACGAATATATATGATTGTCTTTAGTATAACGCAAAAATATTCACGCAAAAAAAATATTAGATCAGTTGATAATCAATAAAAAAGGAATATTTTTGAAAAAAATTTTGGCAAATTTGATTTTTCCTATTTTACTTGCAAGAAATTGGAATTATAAAGAGTTATAAATTCGAAAATAAAAGTCAAGCTAAGTGATGGATGTGCATTGTTTGCAAAGTGAAGCGAAAAATGTCATGAGCGTGTAAATTATGCAGAAAAATAAGTTGAAAAGAAAAAAAAAACCAACGACAAATACTGAATTGATGACTTCTTCAAATTCCTAAATTATAACTTTGCTATTCGTAATACGCTTTATACACACTTATCAGTGTTAATCTCTCACAGAAGCACTCTAAACAACATCACTTACTTACTATCCATAGCATAGCAACAAAGTAATGATGAATTGAAGTCTGATCTGCCATTTTAATCTACTTTGCTATTTATGATGTCTGGAATGAACTGAGATTGTGAAAATATAAACTTAAATTGACTCTTTTCAATAGTCAATTCTAAATATAATTTGCTCGTTTTCAATTGTGAATTGAATTGTTTATTGAAAAAAAAAATTCACAGATCTTTTTAAGTGCAAAAAGTAAAATAATTTGAACAGTTGATAAATGAAGTTAGATTTTGTTATTAATATTTATTTTTTTCAGAAAGATTGTGTTAATGAAAATCATTAATAGAAAAAATAAGGAAGCATGGAGATACGAGCAGAAATGATAATAATGAAAAAGATTCTTCAGAGAATGATTATGCTTGAGTATAAAAAATAATAAGAGTTTAATTCTCATCATAAAAAGATTTTTTTTTTAACAAATTTGGATTCAAGAACTTTGGAAAGTAAAAAAACCGAGTCTGAATTATAGATGAAAACAAATGGACAGCAGATGAGGTTGCTGAAAAAAGCTCGGTGAAGGATATGAAAAAGCATTTGAGTAGTGTACCGGAACCAGCAGAACTGAGTGCCGAGCAAGTACAGCAAGTGCACTGGAACACGATCCAACACGATCCAACACGAGAATCGAAAAGACAGAATAGAAGATTAACCTCCGACCTACTGCACATGATATATATACTTATTTACTTAATGGATGTGAAATTAAACTCGGTAGGATGAATTTAATTAATTAATATGCAAAAAATGGCACACAGACCACATAGTACGCAGACTAAACTGAAGATTAGGTAATTATTTTAACAACTTTACCTCTCTTTTCTTTGTTGATTTTCGTAGCAAATACAACTCATTTTTATAACTCATATAAAATATCGATAGTTTCACTAATAAATAATATCACTTCACTGTGAATGCTCTGTTGCACACTATTTTCATTAAGTTTAGTGGTAGCTAAAAATGTAATCTGAAGGTGAAAATTTTTCTATAGAAAGTGAAAATTTGTTCTGCCAAAAAAAGTAAAATAGAAGCAATATATGATCAACAGAAAATTGCATTTTTATTTAATAATGAGCAGAGATTAAATGCAGTAAAATTTAAAAAATATTAAAAAATTAAAGTATTATTATTAACATTGTAAAGAATAAAGTACAATTTGAACGCATCTTTTATTTTGCAATTTTACTGTATTAACTTTTTTTTTTTGTTTTAAGTCAGGCGATTTGAACTATTCATTGTCTGTCACTAATATTTTTTTTCTTGAAACTTTAGGTAAATATG